TCCCTGCGGAACGCCCCATCTGTTCATCTACTGAGCCTGCTGGACACCTTAGGGTTGCACTTTAGTATTGCATTATAATGTTTTATCATTAAGTAGAACCAGACTACTTGGGTACACACCCCAGCTCTGGCCCTTGAGAGCTGTGTGACCTTAGGCCAATCACTTAACCTCTCTGTGCCTCAGTTTCCTCCTATGGGGTAATAGTACCTCCTCCACGGGGCTGCTGGGAAGATGAAATGAATTAATATGATACGTTAGCCTCCCTTGTCCATGGCTTCACTTTCCACAGTGTCGGTTAGCAGTCATGAGTGGTGGCTCGAAAATATGAAACAGAAATTTTCAGAAACAAGCAATTCCTAAGTTTTTCATTGCTGCCGTTCCGAGCAGCGTGTTAGACTCTTGTTCTGTCCCACTCCCTCCATTTGTCTCATCCTGCCTGCGTTTCACCATCTCGCTTCATCACAAGAAGGGGGAGTGCAGTGTAATCAGATATTCTGAGAGAGAAAGAGGCTGTGTTCACATAACTGTATTACAGTGTATCGTTAGAATTGTTCTATTAGTATTAGTTGTTGTTAATCTCTTACTCTGCCTAATTTACAAATTGAACTCTCTCCTAGGTATGTACGTTTAGGAAAAAGCAGTATTACAGAGCCTGGTACTACCTCAGTTTCAGACATCCAGTGGGGGTCTTGGAACTTTTCTCCCATGGATAAGGGGGAGACCGTACGTGCGGCTAGAACAATACCAGGAACAGTGCGTGGCATGCTGACCACCATGGAAGGTGCTAACATTAATATTGGGGGCGACGCTGTGTCTGTCTTCCCTTGAGGGCAGGCCTGGGCTTTGCTCACTTTCCTGTACCCGGGGCCCAGCACAGAGCCTGGGCAAGGGAGGTGCTTCATTGCTATTTTCTGAGTTAATATGTTGTTTTCTGACTAGGTGATAAGATACGGATGTCGCAGCAGTCTGCTATGCCCTGGGCCCCTCTTGGGACACTAGGGTTGGCTGCGACCCCTGGCCCCCCAACTGATCTCTGCTGGCGCCCCCAGTGTCAGGGGTGGTGTCTGATGGGGAGGCTGCATTCTGACTGCTGCTTGGGGACCACAGGCTGACATCCCCTCTGCTCCCACCAGTCCGTCACCGGCCCCCCGTTGCTGCTGACCTCCATTCCTGACGCCCCTCACCCACCACCCTACCCACCTCCTGGGCCTGCGCTTCCTCCCACAGCCCTTCCTGGAGGGCAGGGAGGAGGAAATGCTCTTCTCAGGATGAGGGTCCGCTGGGCAGGGGTCCTCTGGGTTCAAAAGGCCTTTGTTGTCCCCACCATGGCTTTGGTGCTTCACTAAGTGTCCTGGGGCTGCAAAAAGCATAGCATTGAAAAGCTCCTAGATGAGGGTTCCCTGGAAAAACAGAACCAATAGAAAGTGTATATCTATAGTCACAGAAAGAGAGTTATTCTAGGGAATTGGCTCTCACAGTTGTGGAGGCTGGCAAGGCCCAAATCCACAGGCTTGATGTCCCAGTTAGAGTCCAGAGATGGAAAGTTATTGGAGAACCAGGAAAAGCTAATGTCCCCATTCAAATGAAGGCAGTCAGGTAGGAGAGGCACCCTCTTCCTCAGCCTTTTCGTTCTCTCTGGACCCTCAGTTGATTGGAATCCCCTCACCTCACATTAGGGAGGACCATCTGCTTTACTCTGTCTGTTGATTTAAATGTAAATCTCATGCAAAAGCAACCTCATAGAAACACCTGGAATCATGTCTGGCTAAACATCTGGGCACCCTGTGGCCCAGTCAAGTTGACACATAAGATTGGTCATCACAGCTCCTCCTAGGTAGGTGCCAGGGAGTGATGAGGAAAGGAAGGGCCCCTGCCAATGAGAGAGACCAGTAAGTGGCACTGATTTTCCGGCTCAGATCCTTAGCTGTGCCACTGCCCCCTGTACAACCCTGGGCAGGCCAAGTTGCCTCTTTGTGCCTGTGTCTCTGTCTATGCAGTGGGGCCAGGCCAGTGCCCACCTTGGAGGCAGCACAGGCAAAGGGCCCAGGGCTGTACCTGGCACCCTGGGTGGTGTCACTGGTGGTTTTATAGTGTGGTTGGGACCCTGGCCAGAGAAGCTGGGGAAATTTGGAGCAAGGAGAATGAGGAGTGAGCCAGGAAGGCTCCCAATTAAACTAAAAAAATCACTCTCGTGGCTTTGCATCTTATTTTCTTTTATTGCATTTTAGCTTTTGGATTTAGGGCCTTTTGAAAGTAGAATTTCATCAGACCGAAGAACTGTGTGAAAATCTGCTCTTTCTGGACTAAATACACACAGGAGGGTCGGATACCCAGGAGGCCCAGAGCCCTCCCTCTACAAGGCATGGGCATCCTCCCGCCCTGTACCTTCCAGAGGCCAGGGCCTTCAAGGTCCTGCATTCGTGCAGGGACGCTCCGTCCAATTCAACTCCCTGCTCTTTAATCCGAGCTGTTTCTAGCGGGGCATTTTAGGCGATTCGTGCTGCAGCTTGCACGAATCAAAGCTGAAAATAGGCACATTTTCATGGCAAGAGAAAACAGAGTCCTTAGAAAACACGACTCCCAGAAAAACCAAACCAGTAATCCGACCCGGCGGCCCCGGGCAGAAGAGCAGTCGTGGGCCCAGTTTGTGTTTCCTGAGCACCTACTGTATACAGGGTGCTGGGAATGGGACTCTTTTCTCTCTTCTCATGGATCAGAAGGAAGGAATTTCCCCTCCTCTGTCACCCCAGCAGACGGCGCCTTCTCAGCTGAAGTTCAAGCTTGACATTCACCGTCCATCCTTCAGCTGTGGGCACAGCGCTCCTGCCCCTCCCACTCCTGGCTCCATGCTCATGATCCTGGCGGCATCCTCCTGGAGGATACTCATTCCACAGATGTGCCCAGATAATTTAAGGTGCACAGACTTGGTTGGCCTAAAGAAAATATCTTCCAAATAAGCTGTCTTCCTCCTAGCAAGTCTCTTCAGAGACGCCCCACGGGGCCTGGGGGGCAGAGAGCTGGAGACGGCATTGGTGTAGGGCAGGGGTAACTCTGGCTGGGGTGGAAAGCCTGCTCCCCCAGTCCTCAGATGTGTGAATGGCAGCAGGTCCCCTAAGCTCCCCGAGTCTGCCTTCCCTCCTCTGTAAAATGGGATAATAGTTGTGGATCCCCATGGGCTTGTGGTGAGGAGCCCACAGATGTCAGATGCTGTGGCTGGCCTCGCCATCATTATTATTAGGACTGCTATTATGATGGCTCCAGCAATGGCCGTCTGGGCATTAGCCATCTGAGGGGTGTCCAAAGGCCACAGATTATCCCCACATCTACATCCATCCTTGTGGTACTTTCTCTTCTTTAAGGTTCTTTTTTTTTTTTTTTTTTTTGCAGGTGAATCTGGGATGGGACCTTTTTACTCCCCTTACACCACCAGTAAAAATTGGTGCACCTGGTGACCTCATCACACCTGGTGCCCACTGCTAGATGCCAGAGCAGTGGATGGAGGAATGAGCAAGTAGCACCTGGAGTCTGATGAGGCGCAGCAGGAAAGGTAGGGTCGGGAACTCCCAAGAGGGAAGTGTCACTTTAAGGAAGCTGGCGCTGGAGGCAGACTCCACCAACAGGAGAAAGGCTGGGGCATGACCACAAGCCACCCTTCCTCTAGACCAGTGCTTTTCTGACTCTCAAGCACATGCGTGGATGCTGCGGGTTTGTTATAACCCAGCTGGCTGGGTCCCCACCCCAGAGCTTCTCATTTGGTGGATCTGGGATGGGGCCCAAGACCACGTGTCTGGCAAGTTCCCAGGCGATGCAAACGTGGCTGGTCTCAGGAATGAGCTTTAAGAATCATTGTTTAAACCCATAATCTTCAAGTGTTTCAAAGCCAGGGATTGGTCAAATGAAATATTTTGGAGGCAAAAATAAAGCAATGAGTCTGGGCACGGTGGCTCACACCTGTAATCCCAGCACTTTGGGAGACCGAGGCAGGTGGATCACTTGGGGTCAGGAGTTGGGGACAAGAACGGGCAACATGGTGAAACCCCATCTCTCCTAAAAATAGAAAAATTAGCTTGGCATGGTGGTGCATGCCTGTAGTCCCAGCCACTTGGTAGGCTGAGGAAGGAGAATCGTTTGAACCCGGGAGGCAGAGGTTGCAGTGAGCTGAGATCGTGCCTCTGCACTCCACCCTGGGCGACAGAGCAAGACTCCATCTCAAAAAAACAAACAAAACAAACAAAAGCAAACCAAACAACAATAAAGCAACAAACAAGGTGATGGCATAGGGCCAGGGGTGCCTTGCCAGACACTTCCTAAGGCACAGTTCCAAACAGAATGGAAATTCTGAAGTGCCCCCTTGGCTTTAGACCAGGCATCAGAGAGCAGTGAGTCCAGGCCTTGTGTTGTGCATCTTAAAAGAACTGGTTACAACCACATAGCATTCAGGATTGGGTGTCCTACAATCTGTATTTCAATGAACCCAGATGCTTCTGAGCATGTGAAGGCTTGAGAGGCGCTGGTGTATATCACTTATAGTGGCTCCAGTTACCTGCTGATACCCACACCTGCACCTGTCTCTCACCCTAGGTGGCAGCCTCAGGTCTCCTGAGCTCATGGCCGGCTCCATCTGCACCTGCCTTTCCCAGGCTACTGAGAACTTACATCTAAATATATAGCTGAACTCAGCATCTTCTCCCCAGCCTTTCCTCTTCCTGGGCTCCTTAACCTGAGAAAAGCATGGTCATTTACTAATTGCTCACCATGTGCCTGGCACTGATAGGTGCTCCATATACATTAACTCCAAACCAAGGTAGATACTAGAATTCCCATCCTATAAATAAGGCTTTCAAGGCTCCAAGAAGTGAAGCACCTTGCCCAAGGTCACCTAGCCAGCAAGGATTTTAACCCAGGCCTGGGGCCTGCAGGACAGTCCTTTGTCTCTACCACACTACCTGGCATCACGCACCCAGCAGACGGAGCCAGAAACTCACTCACAATCCAGGACCTGGATTTATTGCATTTAATATTCCCACCTTTTTACAGAGAAGATCTATAGATTTCATCAGCTGTGAACAACAACAAAAAGAGTATGTAGGAGTTCCAAAATGCTATAATAACAATGAAAATCATGGTAAGAGTAATATTTTGGAAGACTGTTCTCTGAGTCAAGGCCATACACTAAGCGCCTTCCCTTCTGGCTGTGGGGAGGGACTTAGCACGTCCCAGGCAGCTCAACTTTGCAGAAAAGGAGCATCTCCCATCCTTTCCACAGGCAGCAGCTTTCTCCAGTCCATACTTCAGAGACAGAAGCACCCCACGGATGTCCCTCCATTCCTGAGGGTGCAGTGACCCCATGTGGCCAATTCCAAATGTAGCCACTTGATGGCCGTTGGGTTGTGACTGCTATTTCTTCGTCATTTAAACAATTCTCCTATTGCTGTCTTTTGCTGGAAGTTTTGCTTTCATTCCACTGAGGAGGAGAGGCAACAGTGGCAGCTCGAACCGGGAAGGGCGGGGCTGAGTGTGCAGGGACAATGTCCTCCTAGCCTGCTGGCCACAAGGACCCCCCAGCTCTGAATGCGGGCTGAGAGTGTCCCCTTCGGGCTACTTTGGAGGGGCAGCAACCTGTGATCCGGACAGCTGGCCTAAAGCCTTCTAGGCCCCAACCAGGCTGCTGCATCACAGGGAAAGGAGAGAGGGAGAGAGAGAGAGAGATGAGACCAAGGAAACCCTGCACTGAGTCACCCCCAGACTCAAGAGGTGGAAATGGGGGGCTGTCATGTGAGAGCTGGGAGGGCCCATGGGGTTATCAAAGTCATGCCCACATTTTATAAAGACAGCAAGCGCCAGAGTGTGACAAGGTCTCTCCTTAGCCAGCCACTAACATGTGTGAGCCGGCGAGGAACTGCACATGGCTGCTACCAACATATGCCGAGTCACGGGGGCTTCAGCTAAGTAGGGGGTGTCTTTCTCTTACGTAATCTGAAATTTCTCAGAAGCAGGTGGTCCAGAGCTGCTAGGGAGACCCCACGATGTCATGAGAGACCCCAACTCTGTCTTCTGCTTCACCAGTCCTAAAACATGGCATTTCTCCACAAGCCTACATCATGGTCATGGCATCGGCTTCAGCTCCCCTCTCACTCCTGAGTTCCAGGCGGGGAAAAGGAAGAAGAGGGAAAGCCCAGAGGCCAATTGTCAGAAGCATAAACTTCCCCTTCAATAGCATTTCCTGAGGTTTCACCCAATAACTTCCTTTTATCGTATTGGCCATTGGAACTGTAGTTTGTAAGCTGAGCGTATTCCTAGAAAGAAGGGGAGAATGAAGATATAGATTACTAGAGGCCTCACTTATCTCTACTCAGGATAATAACAGCTACCATTTCTTCGGACCTTACTATGTTTACATGAATTTATCTATCCTCACAAAAACCCTGGCAGATAGAGTTTGTGATCCCATTTCACTGGTGAGGAAAGTGAAGTTTAGTGAGCTGAGGTTAACTGAACCACACCCAGTGAGGGCTCGGGACAAAATCTGAAACTAGATATGACTCAAATCCTATGGTCTTCACCTTATAGCACCTAACAAAGGGGCAGAGAAACAGGACTCAGGCTTCAAAAGCTATGTCACAAAGCCTCTCTCCCTTGGCGTGGTAACCACTGATACTTCCTTGTAAATGGAGAAAGCAGCATGAAAACATGCTTTCTGAGGAAGGAGCTGCGGCTGTTGTCACCACTGTTGGGAAGGACAGAGCACTATTCTGGGTTTGTATCTAGTAAGCAAGTTTGCCCAAGAGTTCATTTCCCCAGACCCTTAATCCGTTCTTTGACTTGCTGTCACTCTTACAGAGTCAAGGAGAACCCTTCCACATGACCGTGAAACTCAGTGATTTCGGTTTCACCATGATCAGTCAAAGATCATCAGTTCATCCTCTTTCAGTATTTGTACGGCTGTGTCCAGGATTTTGTGAAAAGTCTTTTAAATGTACAATCAAGATAAATCTTTTGGCTTTGTGAAAAGATCCTTGGCTTCATAAAAGGACTCATTCCGGGGCTCCTTTAAGTGAAGGTCTCCAGTATCTTCAAATATAATTTTTTTTTGAGACGGAGTCTCGCTCTGTCGCCCAGGCTGGAGTGCAGTGGCACAATCTCGGCTCACTGCAAGCTCCGCCTCCCGGGTCCACGCCATTCTCCTGCCTCAGCCTCCCGAGTAGCTGGGACTACAGGCGCCCGCCACCTCGCCCGGCTAATTTTTTTGTATTTTTAGTAGAGACGGGGTTTCACCGTGTTAGCCAGGATGGTCTCGATCTCCTGACCTCATGATCCGCCCGCCTCGGCCTCCCAAAGTGCTGGGATTACAGGCGTGAGCCACCGCGCCGGCCCAAAGAGAAAATATTTTAAAGTTTTAGCCACTCAAGAAAGAGGCCTGAGCACAGAGAAACTCAAAGCTTGAGTGTGTGACAAGCGCCGCCTGGGGATCAGCCGGTCGCTGTGCAGGTCCGCGGGGAGATGGAGCCGGCTGCCAACCGGATCTTCCAATGGCCTCTTTCACAGAGGGACGACCAACTCTGCCCGGGGCATGTGAGAGTGGAGAGACATCTAGGGTGGTCCTGCTTCACCATGACTTGACCTATGCTTTGTTGTCTTGAGGCCGTTCGTCCTGGGATCTCAGCCAAGCCTTGTCAACTTGGCTGATGTATCCCCCAAATCTTTGGAAAGCAGGGAAATCCCGGGCACTCCAGTCCTCTGCAGTACTGCAGGACGTCCAGCAGGTGGCGCAAAAGACAAGTGCGCGCCTTCCCCATCTCCTTAAGAAGGAAATTTGACCAAAATGACAGCTCCCTCCTTCCTTCCCTCCCTCCTTTCCTTCCTTCCATCCTCTCCTTCTCTTCTGTCCCTCTCTTTCTTCTTTATTCATTGAATCATCAAGTATCCATGAATGACTACAAGCAGAGCTCTGTGCAAGATACTGGGGGGATGAATTATAACGGGGTCCCTTGCCTTTGAGGAACCTGGAGTATAATAAAAAAGTAAAATAACAACCAACTGAAATACAGGAGGTGGCACAGGTTTCTGAGGGAGCAGTGTCACTCTTGAGCAGTATCATCGCAGCCTGCAGGTGCTGGAGTCAGACCAACCTGTCTTGTCTGTCTTCTGGTCCCGATTCCACACTTGCTGCAACCTTGTGCAAGCGCCTTAATGCCTCAAAGCCTGGATTTCCTTATCTGTAAAATGAGGATAACAATAGATTGTCCTATGACATGTTCATAAGGTTGGCATAAGGAGTTAACATACCTAAAACATTTAGCACAGTTTTTGAAAAAAACAAAACGTTATTTAAAACATATAACTCATTCATTCTTACATGCATACATTTATTCTATAGACATTTGTATGACAACCTTGTGAAGAAGATTGTCCTTATTATTATAGGAGGTACAAAGTAAGTAGAAGGAATACCCCTGTGTGTGGGGATTTGTAGTCAGGGTGAATATTTCTTCAACATCTTCTTGGACACTTTTCTCTGTGATGGTCAAAATCAGCCTGGACTGAAAAAAGAAGAAAGCAGCCCAGTTGTTAATCCTGCTGGGAGGACAGACTCTGATAAAGCCAGCTTCAGCATCCACAGAAAATGCCACTTCTCCCGAGGTCAACCTGCAGCTGGAAAATGCCAGGATGATCTCCCTTGATTCCTGCCAATCACCATTCCTCACCATGATTGGTGAGGAATCTCCCATGATTCTTCCCCAGACTCACTTTGCTGCACCCCTCTTTTCCTAGGAATCCCCAAGTGCTGAGCCCTCCTTGCTCTTACTGGCGCCCAAACTGTACGTAGTCCATCCTGCTGCTCCTGAGACTGTCGTGGAAACAGCAGCCAGCACAGGATGGACCCCACTTCCTCAGACCCTCATCAGAGTCTCCAGGGGGAGCCCAGACCTTCTAGAAGGGGCTTCCCTCCCCTCCCCTACCAAGTGTGCAGCACCCCCAGGCTCTAGAGTCATGTCAGTCAGCCACGGTTTTTGGACCGAGGGGTGCATGGTGGTCCTCGACAGATGGAAACTCACTTTTGTGGGCTCCCTGAAGTGGGGTGCAGGCCTCCACCTCCTCAGAGGCCCCCACGGGAAACCTTGGCAGGGAGGGAGGCAAGGGAGGAACGGGACCCAGCTGGAATTCTGACTTCAGCAAAGGTGTTGGAGGAAGGTTAAGGTTAAGCAGTGGCTGCAGTTATGTGAATCAGACGCAGCCCTGGCAGAGCTTCTGGTGCCCAGGCTGGAGCACCCCAAGTGCCCCTTGAGCTATGAGCATCCAGCGAGACACTGGGCGTGCACAGCCTTATGGTGGGCTGTGGCATCGAACCACTGAATGAGAGAAGGTCTCTACTAGAATCCGCCGTTTCTTCCTTTCTCCTTCTTGCCTCCCTCTTTCCCTCCCTTCCTCCTCCTTCCTTCCTTCCACAAGCATCTTTGTGCAGGAACTGTGTTGAGTGTTGGGGGCGCAGATGCCTCTGGCCAGTCCCTATATCCCCAGGTTTCTGAAGATTTCGTCATGACACAGTGACAGTGGAGGGACAATCTCCCAGGTGGGGCGGCCTCTGGGGGCAGGTGGCACCTGCGCAGCCTTGAGCATGGGTTTGAGGGCACCGTAGCATTCCATTTTGGGGGCCTGGGCCGACACGCAGATCTGAGCCTCTGCAGGCCGGTGAGGCTGGCTCTGCTCAGCTGGCACCTTGGTTATCTGCTGGGCAGTGGCGACTGCTCTTTCAGGCCACAGTGCGTGCCACCAGGCCCATGTCAGGGATCGTAGGTCTCAGGGGTCTGTGGGATACCACGCCCCTCAGTCTCCCTGGGTATGGAGGGGTGCGAGACACAGCACACGCTCCTCCCTAGCCAGACTGTGGGAATCTCCACCTCCTCCCCTAGAAATAAGGGCACAGTATGCGTAGTGCTAGGAATCAGAGCCCCCACCTCAGGACTTAGAGGAGGAAGAAAAAGGGCCCTGGGGCATGGAGAAAAGCTTGACTCTCACCTCCTAACACACACTCCCCACCCTTCTCCTTCTGCCCAGGCCTGAGCCCTCCCTCCGAGCAGGGAGTGTCAGCTGGGTGCAGGTGCTGGCCTCACGCATGCTGTGCTGAATCTTCTGGACGCTCCCGCACTGCCTGGCCTGACTCCACCCTTCGGAGGCCACGGGCTCTGTGAAAGGGCGTTGGCAGCAGTTGTGTGAATCAGAAGCAGTGGTCCTGCCTGAGACCGTGGTCAGGCCAGAGGCAGGGATCCAGGAGGCCTGGGGCCTAACATAGGCCCAGGTTGGTCTGTGACCTTGGCAGTTCACTCCCTTACTTTGAGAGAGGGGTTGGGTTGCTGTGTCCTCAGGGAAAAATGTCCCTTTGGAAACCCAGACATTTCAACCTGCAGAACTCAGAATTCAGGGCACGGGAAGCACAGATGCTCCGAGTGGGCTCCTGGGAGCTGGAGTCAGCACGTCTTGGTTTCCGGACCTGGGCTTTCTGGGGACAAAGTGTCATGTAAAAGTGCTTGATCCCAAGTGCCTCCTGTATCCTGGAGGACAGCATCTCATTCTTGTCAAGTAGTGCCTGTGGGCTGGCACGAGGCCTTTAACAGCCACGCCAATTTCCTGTAAGACCAGAAGCTCCTGTCTAGTTCGGTAGGTGACGTGCGTCCACCATCACGGCCCATGCTGCGCCCTTCACGGTGGAGATGCTGTCCACTGCTGACGAAGCCAACACTCCATGAGCCCTGTCATGGTGCTTCTGATGGAGGCCCCGTGGTTGGGAGAGAGAAATCTCTACTCACAGTAGCAGTCTATTTATATTTCAGAATGAATCAGTGGCCCTTCAGCTTTCTACCAAGTTCAGCATTTGTCCCCATTACTGGCAGATTGGACACGTGGTGGAAGCAGTAGCTACATTATCTTTGGTAAGTAGAAGCCCATGCCGTTGGGCTCACTCATAGCCTCCATCCCTGCCACCACTGTGCCAGCACTGGGGGGCCAATGACACAGGCTGGCCTGTGGTACCTGGCCGAGTCATTTGGCCTACTTGGCTGCTAGGAGCCTCCTCTATGGTGGATGATCTCCAGGGAGCACTACCACGTAGTAAGACGTTCATCACGTTCTCCACCCGCCACTCCCGTTTGCCCACTCGCGTGCCTCTACCAGACCTCCCTGCCCCAGATCTTGCAACCTTTGTCTTTCCAGGCTCCCGAAGCCAGACAAGCCATTTGGCACTGCCCACAAGTCCTTGTATATTCTAACTCTGGACTCGCCTTCCTTCCACACGAAGTGGATGACCAGGTACTCTGCCCCAAATTCTGTCCATTAGGAGGTTTCTCCATCACTCCTGTCTTTCGAGGCCACCCTTGATGGAGGCTGGATGCAGCTGCCGTCCATGTGCAGCTCACACAAACATGTCACGCCGACGCGAGCATGATAAGCTTGGATGTTTCCTTCCTCCTTTGGTTATGGAGAATTCCCCACACAGCCATGCGTATGAACTGGTAAGATGCAGTGGTGCACACATGGCGATGACAGAGGCCTGGGCTATGTTTGTGTCGTGTGCTGTGCCCTGGTCCTGCTCCCATGTGGCTGTAGGGATACCACTTTAATCCTAAGATGGATTTCTGCTGGCCCACCCCATCTTATGACATGATGGTTCTGCCCAAACCTAACTCATCGGGGTTTGGGCTCATGGAGTGTTGGCTTCGTCAGCAGTGGACAGCATCTCCATCGTGAAGGACGCAGCATGGGCTGTGATGGTGGATGCACGTCACCTACCGAACTAGACAGGAGCTTCTGATCTTATAGGAAATTGGCATGGCTGTTAAAGGCCTAGCGCCAGCCCACAGGCTGTGGCTGCATGTCCGCTTTATGCCATGGTCAAGGGCTCTGTCTCCACCAGGGCCCAGCAGCACGCTGGCAGTCTTGTGATTCTCCTATTATAACTTGCCATAAATTCCACACAGCTCCTCTTTTTTCTGTTGTATTATTTTGCTAGAGTTGCTGTAACAAAGTGCCATGATTGAAAGGCTTAAACAACTGCAATTTATTTTCTTGCAGTGGTGAAGGCTGGAAGTCAGGATCTAGGTGTCAGCAGGGTTCATCCCCTCTAAGGGCTGAGAGGGAAGGGTGTGCTCCAGGCCTCTCTCCTGGGCTTGCAGATGGCTGTCTTTCCCCTGCGTCTTCACATGAGCTTCCGCCCTGGATGTAGCTGTGTCCAAATTTTCTCTTATATGGACACCAGTCATACTGGATTAGGGCCTACCCTGATGACCTCATTTTACCTTTATTAGCTCTTCTGCAATGACCCTGTTTGGGTCACATTCTAAGGTACTGGGATTTAGGACTTTGACATACGAATTCCTGCGGTGGGGGGGGATGTTAGCTGACACAATTCGGCCCATAATACCCCCCAGTGATCCTCTTAATGTCTCAGTCGGCCAGCTGATGTGCCCAAGTGTCAGCACTCCATGGACCACAGCCTGGGTCCGGTGCAGGGCTCTTTCCTGCTCTTGGCCCTCCCCAAAGCAGGCAGCTTTTTATTGTACCCAGGACACAGGTCTGAGCAGCACTCCCAGATGTGTCATACGCTGCCTCCAAACCCAAAGAAGTTTACAAGGTACTGTGCTTCTTTCTTCACGGTAGGAGGTGCAAGATGCAGTGATTTCTCCTGAATGCCCCTCATCCCTGCCTCCCTAGAAATTTCGTTGATGTGGCAAAGCCCTGAATCATTGTAAGGTTTATCTCCCATCCTCTGGAGTGCATGTGTTTTACCCAGGCCTCTGATGTGCTAGCCACTTCTTGCTCATCCAGTTTGATTAGAGTGGCATCAGTGATGTAATTGATTGACACGATGCTCTACAAATCTTCTGGGTGGTCCAGATCTCTTCCTTGTTTAATTATGACAGAGGGCAGGTGGGTCAACATTAGCCCCGGGGCAAAACTATACACATACACATGGTTTCATGTGAAAGTAAAGTGCCTCTTTCCTGACAGAAAATGCACTTGCAAAATCAATGTCTGTACACGATTTGCTTCAGTCTAAGTGACAATGCTGCAACAAAGATATAAAAATCTATCTGGCACGGCAGATGGCAATCAGTGCTAATCCTCAGCTGAGTTTAGAAGAGTCTACTCTCATTTTCTAGGATCGACCAGGAGTTTTCAATGGCAAGACTTGTAAGTTACATAGATAAATGATGGGCTACAACCTCTGCATTCTCTAGATATTTAACAGTGATGCTAAATTCTGCCACCCCTCCTGGGACATGATACTGTTGTTATTTACTAGAGTGGCTGAGGGGAAGAGGAAATAGTTTTGGAGGCTTCCACTTCCCCTCTTCACTGTAACAGCTCTTACCTCTCAGGCCAAGAATACTCTAAAACGTGTCCATTCTGATACCATATTTAGGTACCAGAAAAATGACCCACTGTGACCCAAATCCTGACTGGGGCTGCATTTATTACCTGGTCCTCATGTACCCGACTCTAATAGGGGTGCCACGATGATGTTTCATGTCCCTGGAACAATGGGGACTTGGACCCCCAGAGACCTTGAAATCCACCATGTCCCCTTCCCCCGGTGTACTGTTATCTGAGTGAATGGGTGATGGCACCTTTGGAGGAGGACTGGGGAATGCGGCCATGGTATCGCAGGCCCTTCCTCCTGGAGAGCGGTTCTCTTCTTCAGTCAATGGGCTCTGGGTCTGAAACCAGCTCAGACATGGAAACCAGACCAAAGGAATGTGAACTTGGATTAGGACCATGCCCCTTTGCCTCCTGACCATCACTCCTGATTGCCTTTAGTAGGGCCGAGCGGCTCCCTGCTGGCCATCTCTTTTGCCCGGAGGGATGCACTGCTTTAATAACCCGCTCTGTGCCGATGAGCCAGCAGCAGCCCTCCCTCCACTCCCCAGACACGGTGCCCCATCACAGTCATTGTGCTCACCTGGCTTCTTGTGTTTCCACGTGGCCTCTGTTGTTTTGGAATTGCACCATCCCGACTGCCATGAGGGAGACGAGTTCTGTAGCAGCCTCTCCTAGCATCAGCTCTGGCTTGGACTTCAGTGTGGCTGGTGTCCCTTTCACCAGGATCATCTCCCATCTCCTGGGCTCCATGTTAGTGTGCTAAATCCTGAATCCTAGAAAAGCACTCCCAAATTGGCCAGCTCTCCTTTATTCAACGCTGTATGCCAGTCCCCTGGATAGAACACCCTCAGGCTCCCACCCGCACACAGTTTCCCGGCTTCTGCTGGTCCATGCTGGTCTTACAGCTCCTGGGGGGTATAGGGCTTCCCTCCCCCCACATCGGGCTCAGAACATCCCAGTGGGTTTTGCTGATATTTCACCCTAGTTACAGGCTAAGTGATCAGGAGAGAAGGTGAGGGTAGATTCCAAGAGGCACGTGGCATCGGCCCCTGCAAGAAGAAGCTTTTGTACCATCATCTTCAAGCTACTTCTATATGTTCAGGGGAATCCTGATATTCAGATTTTTCCACTGGTTTCAGCTGGTGATTAACTATTCATATATTTTATCTTTTTCCAGAGCATTGACCAATTTTAGCGACAGCTACCCAATTCCATTGTCCTTATAGTTATGATTTACTCTGTATTTCTCAAAGGACTGATAGGTTGCAGGAGCTAGTACACCATCCCAGTACATGACCAGTGAACGTTTTAAAAATCGGACTGTCACTTCATGACAGGGCTGTGTTCCACCTACCAGCAGTGATAGGGGTTCTTACTGCTAGAAAAGTTGTGAGTGATCCATGTCCAACCCTCACTCCTGGTACTAACTAACCACTGCAGGCTGGTTCTAGGGAAGCAGATCTGAGACAAGGACTTAGCAGGCAAGATACTTATTAAGGAGTATTCTTGGGACTCACGCCTAAGGAAGGAAGTGGCTGTGGGCAAAGGGAGAAGTCCAGCTGTCCTGCACGTGCAGTGACAGTATCTGTTGGGCTCAGAGCTCAGAGCAACCTGGCCCTTCAGAGTTGTCCCATGTGTGGCTGAGATGGCCAGGCCTTTATGTGATGACTTTGATCAATCACAGAATGTGAACTTTCCCAAAAAGGGAGAGCCTTTGGGTGAGGTAGTCCTGTGAAGGGGCAGGCAGCCAAAAGCCACCACCAGCAGAGCTCCCTGCAGCAGCAGCAACTAGTCTCTCACTGAAGGGGAGGTAGGCCACGGACCATGGGTGCCCACCACAGAGAAATATGTTGTATCAGTAAAAAATAAGCCTTTGCCAGCACTTAGGGAGGCCGAGGTGGGCGGATCACAAGGTCAGGAGATTGAGACCATCCTGGCTAACACGGTGAAACCCCATCTCTACTAAAACAAAACATCAGCCAGGTGTGGTGGTGGGTGCCTGTAGTCCCAGCTACTCGGGAGGCTGAGGCAGGAGAATGGCGTGAACCCGGGAGGCGGAGCTTGCAGTGAGCCGAGATCGCGCCACTGCACTCCAGCCTGGGCGACAGAGGGAGACTCCGTCTCAAAAAATAAAAATAAACCTTTGCCACTGAGAACACCGAGATGTGGGGGATGCTTCTTACCACAGCATCATGTAGCCCACCCTGACTGACACACCTGACTTCAGGTGGGCAGGAAGGAAAAGATTTCAAGAACATAAAGAGGAACCTGTCCAGAGGCACACGCCTGTTCACTTTTAAACACGTTGATTCAATAGTCATTCCGAGAATATTCAGGTGGGTGAGTGAGGTGGACAATTTTGTTCATAATAAACCTTGGTTAGTTTTCACCAAATCCACTGGCTCAGGCCCCAGTCTGTGGACACAGTCACCGGGCCTGGAGGGAGGCCCAGCTGGGGACATCAAGGTGGGCCATGGGGCTGGGAGGGGGCAGCTTTCTGGAGGAAAAGCCAAATGTTAAAATCAAATTAAATAAAAAATTTAGTTTCTCAGCCACACGAACCGCATCATCAGTGGTCAACAGTGACGTGTGGCTGGTGGCTACCATACTGTACAGCACAAATACAGAGCATGTCTAAATACTCATTTTCCTTATGATTCTGAGCTTTATTTCCAACAATGTCCATCATCGCAGAAAGTTTCATCGAACAGTGTTGAAGGATTTAAGATTAGTCACTGCATGAGGAAGCGGGAAAATGCCTGATCCTTACAGCTCATATATAAAAGACTTAATCAGAGGATTTCCCAGATTTGACAACAATCCTGTTTAAATGACATTGCCAATAATGACTTGTGAAAACTGAAACTTTTGGTCTATGATTTTTGTCCCATATCCATGTTAGAGGAAGAACTTGAATATCAGTTTCTCTTTAGTAACCAACCCAAAGTCGTCTTAAGAAGGAAGAGATGATCAAAGAGTATGCAGGGTCGGGTGCAGTGGCTCACGCCTGTAATCTCAACACTTTGGGAGGCCAAGGTGGGAGAACCACTGGAGCCCAGGAATTTGAGACCAGCCTGGGCAACACAGCAAGACCTCGTCTCCAAAGAAAGTAAAAAAATTAGCTGGTGTAGTGGCATGCACCTGTGGTCCCAGCTACTCAGAAGGCTGAGGCAGGAGAATCCTTTGAGCCCAAGAGGTTGAGGCTGCAGTGAGCTATGTTTGCACCACTGCACTCCAGCCTGGACAACAGAGCAAGACCCTGTCTCTAAAAAAACCAAAAGCAAAAAAAAACAAGGTAGGTAAGTTAAAAAATATAAAAAGGAGGATGGAAAAGGTATCATAAAGGTGCCAGAAAGTTAATAAAAATACTTTTCAGTATTTTGTAGAGTGTGTTATGCCAAGTTTAAAATATTTTAATTTATGCCTTTAAAAATTCCAAATAAATATATGCTTTCATAGTTAATTCAGTATTTGCAATTCATATTCCTATTCTTAAGAAGCACTACCCCCTTCCTCCCAAATAAATAACTACACAAGCTTCATTTCTTATTAAATCTTATCTGCCTCGTATAGAAATGATTTTTAAAAGTAATTATGGTTTTAAGCGAAAGCCACTGGCAGTCCTCTCTCCTTTTTTTTTCTACTAAAATTAAATTGGAATCGTTCCACATCTGCACTGTTCCTCTGAAGTTCATATCCACTAGAACCTGTGGATGTAACTTTATTTGGAAATAGGGTCTTTGCAGATGTAATCTAGTTAAGATGAGGTCATCCTGGATTGGGGTGGGAGTTAAATCTAATAACTGGTGTCCTTATATAAGGAAAGGGATATGTGGACACAGACACACAGAGGGAAGAAGGCCGTGTGACGACGGACATGGAAACTGGAGTGATGCAGCCGCCGGCCGAGGAAGGCCGAGGTTGGCCAGCAACCACACCAGCTGGAGGACGTGAAGGAGGAGTCTTCCTGGGGCCTTCAGAGAAAGCCCGGCCCTACTGGCACCTTGGCTTTGGATTTCTAATGTCCAGAAACGTGAGCGAAGAAAACTGTGTGATTTAGTATGAAAAGCCGCCAGTCTGTGGTGATGTGTTAGTACATCCCTATGACACTAACACAAAGGCCTAGGCACTGATTTGATCTAATTTCTCATCAGTCTAGTCTATTACTTAGGTGTGATTATTTATTAAAGAACATTTATAACACTGTAAGTTTTATTCAGTTCAAATATCACATATTAGATATACAATACCAATTAATTGAAATGAACAGTACAAGAATACATGAAGTAAATACTGTAACATTTAAGTTTCTTCTCACTTAGGCAACAAGAAATGCTGAGTATTATTATTACATCTTCAAAACAGACTTAAACTTTGGAAACATAAGGCCAGATGAGTGACCTGTATCACATGATATGACAACACATCACTTATTTCCAAACAAGAAAAAGTATGATTATCAAGTTTATCTACACCAGCTTATTTATTCAAATTTGCTCTTCTTATTAAATAGAAAAAAACCACACATTCAATTCCTAATTGGTAAAATCATCTCACAACTCTAAAATTAAGATGCTAATGACACCACTCTCCACTAGCATGAAAGAACAATATATGAATAGAGTACCCAGCTTTCCAACCTATTAACAGGTTTTTATTTCCAGAATTGAGTGGAAAATTGTATGTGGGGTAAACAGCATGAGAGAGAAGTCACTCACTGGTTGAACTGTTCATAGTACAAAAGGTGACAAAACTATGAAAGTTAAAATATGATGGTAAATAATGACGGCTCCAATGCAATTTTAAAAAATGATGCCTGGAAAACAAAAGGTTAGAGATACTCATGTTGCAAACTCCATCTTCATCCTTCAAAGGTCACATGTGTCAACCAACCAAGACTCATGCCAGTAAACTTCCGCAGGGTTCTCTATTATGATCAGGGCCAATCCTTCACCTTGGGGACTGTCATAGTACCCAGGGAGCCTCACATGCCTCTCCCAGCCCCTCCCTGCTCTGAGTGACTGAGAGAAGCTTCCTTTGCTGCAGGGCTGCAGGCAGGTGCTTCTGTTCCTGAGCTCCTAAACACACCAAGGGGTGCCTGAAGGTCCAGGCCTGCCCCTCTCTAGAGGAAAAACCTACTCATTTGGAGACTACAAACCTCTTCTAGAAGCTGTAACCCGAAATGCTAGAATGAGCTTCTATTAATCATGCTTTTTAATAATGTACAATGTTTTGACATCTCGGGGACCTCACTGACTGGGGGAGACTGCCTTTCCCACGGCAAGCCAGTTCTTAGAGAGCGCGAAGGGGTCCCTTGGGAGTGCACCTTTGCACACTAACCAATTCAGAGTCCATCTCCTCGATCTGACTCTTCCACCGCAGGAGGCAGTATCCCCTGGCCCTCATCACCCAGGTCCAGGCACCAGGCAGCTGGAGGACACCCTGTAGCACCGCCCAAGACATTCAAACCTGCCAATCCTACACTCTGCCCCGCCCATCTTCGCCTTTGCCATGAAGACACAAAGGAAAGCTGCTTGCCCGTGCTTGCGCCTAGTTCTGCATCCTGACCACTCCGGCTCCTCCTCCTCCTGTGGCCCTGCATGGCCTGGTGCGCTCCTTTTCTCCAGAAATGCAACTAACAAAACTTTTCTTTCAGACATCAGCCTCTCCTTTATGAACTAAACATGCAGGTACATTTTGATACCACGGGCACAGTGAGCGGGGTAAGTCTGTGTGTGGCGGAGGGCATGCCTCGCCTCTTGGCTGCGCGCGGCTTACTAACTGGACCCCCACCCTGGGGAGCATGGCTGCTGCTGGCATGTTTGCACTCTGGCTGCACCACGTATGCTGTGTCTGCCAGTGTCTGTGACAGTCCAGCCTAAATTATAAGAGGACTGAGCTCATTCAGTCCTTGGTGCTGTAGACTAGGGTGATGTCAATCGTAGTCCCCTACGCAGGACCTTCTGGGTATAACTGTATAATTGGATGCACTGGGTCCCTCTGAATTCCCTTCCTGGACATACCCACTTTCTTGGCTGATGGTCTCAGGGCAGTGAGGGTGACTCCCTCCACAAGGAGCAAGGAATGGCTTTTCCTGAGAGCTTGTGCTGGATGAGAGTCTGATAACCGAGCCAGCAACGCTGAAGTCAGCAGTGAGCTGCTCACCTGAGGGGCCCTCCCCAGCATCCAGTGAGGAATGAATCGCACTCCTGGGCAAAGGATCTGGGTATTGGTCTCCGAAGTGCTGCAGGGATCCTCCGGCCCTGTGGCTGTTGAGAGGCGCCCTCCTCACAGAAATGACAGCCGCCAAAAGGTTTAAATGTTGCTTTGAGAGCCTCGCAGCTGTTGTGACTCATTCCTCAATCCAGTGGGACGCAAAGGATCTGTCCATACAGACCAGTGGCTCCAGGTTAAGGAAAAGGGGAAGGGGTGGGACACTCTGTTCCCACTTCCCTGAGACCTGAGCTACGTGAGCCTGTACCACCCCGGCCAATGTGCTTGGCCACTCCTGAACAGCCTGCCTCTCAACATGCCGGGACCGCCTCCTTCCAACTAAATTGCCACAAAATGAGAAAAAAAGGAAAAAGCGAGAAAAAGCCTAGGTACAAGGGGAAAAAAATTAAAGGTCACTAAATAGACTGTGTGTATTTACGTGTGTGTGTGCATATACATACACCTACACACATATATACACATGCAGATAGAATATTTTAATGCAAATATATAATAAATCATACATGTATATGTACATATACAGCTACACTGATGGTCCCTAATCTGATCCAATTAGAAATCCAACACTTATACACTAAAAATGTATACAACAAATTATATAGTAATATTACATATAAATAAGATTTATATACTAAAACACTTAACCAAAAGATAAAACAGCGCCTATTGGCTTTTGTGTCTCCATAACTTAGTTTAGTTTCTTTTGTGACATTTG